TAATTTGCCTCAGTTTCTTTAATTTGTTTATTTTCGTGATGATATAGCTTGTACTCTCCAAAACTGCTACCGCACGAAAAGATTGATCAGAAGATCAACTAAGATAATTAAAATGAGTACTTAAACAGCCATTCATTATTGTGTCGTTTATGTTGCGGTCCTGACCTAGACCGGGGTCATAACATGTAGTAAAAAAAAAAATTTCTGGAAACTTCATTCATTCCTATGTGGTCAAACTGACCCGCGAGGGAAGGATTTGGAAATTTTTTTTTTTTTTAATTACAACCACAGAAACTCTGCATATCCACTAAATTTTTTTGTGAGCGTGTTTCCGATTCAAGTCTGACAAAAGTCATAAAGTCTCTTACCATAATGATCAATGCTTGGTTTTAAAAAATAAACTAAAATCATTTTCGGGTCGAAACGATCCTAAAAGGATTAGGATATGTTTGTATACATGTTTAAACAAGCCAGCAGTTGTTTTTAAAACTAACTGTGGATGCACATTTCCTTTTCCAGTATTTTCCTCAACAGTGTACAGGGAATTCCTGTGGCATCTACATGCTGATGGTAAGAATGTTTTGTCAAAGGGGAATTCCTGTGGCATCTACATGCTGATGGTAAGAATGTTTCATTTGTCAAAGCTGTTAAACAATAAAATCAAAGTCTTACAGTGTTATTTGTATTTCACAGTATGCTCTCAGCACCTGTACATCATGCCCACTAACATTCACAGAGGTAAGCTAGATTTCCACAAAAATATACCAAACTACTTTTATATGGCTTCTTTTGTTTGTTTGTTTGTTTTTATTTTTGTGTTTTGCACTCTTTTAGGAGGAGGTGCCATTGATTCGCCAGTGGTGGTGCATTCAGTTGATGGAGAGGTTTTGCCTTGAAGGGTATGACAGACTCTACAGATACAATTTCAGTATCTCGGCTGTATTAAGTCACTGTTGGCAAAGTGATACTAGAAAGGTGTTATACAAATAGAGTGCATATACATTTACATATTTTACAAAGGCATGGACAGAGATTTGCACACTGGACAGAAGAAGCATCCCAACTCCTTCAGGGAACACTTGAGCCTGTGTTTAGGGTGTCAAAATCCCCCAACACCAGGAGAAGAGTTGTGGTTGAAGAGGACACTAATAAGGTAAATGAGTTTAATGTCATATATCACGGAGTTGCATGCAAGTTGGATAAATACTTTATATATAAATACTTTAGTTGGTGCAACAGCCTAGCATTGTGAGCGACCTTCATACAGCTTGGTACTGGGCACACAATCACACTTATTCCGTGGAGAGGTGACAGAGCCTGCTTTTCTGCAGATGAACAGTGAAAGTCAACTAAATCCACTCAGGAAGGCCTAACACAGCTGATCATCCAGAGTCACGTCACATCACGTCCGTTCGCTCAGAGTCCTGTCACTTCCTGTCAGTTGCATCCAGATCCTCAAGGACTGTTCTTCAGTATCCCAGACTGGCATCCAGCGTGGAGGACCCACCGCTGGTGTCGGCACGTGCAGCTGGTATCCCTTAACCAGCGCTCTCAAGCCCTCCAGTTCCTGAACTAATTCCCCTGTCTGTAGCGCTTCCCACAATGGGGATCGCTTTATGGTGTATTTGGGCTGCATACACCACCACTGAAACTTTAGAAATGGCGGCGGCCACTGTGATGTCTCCCGAGGTGGCGGCTGATGCTGCAGATCTTCCAGAGGTAGTGGCGCACGCTGCCGTGTTCCTCGAGGCGAGGGCGCCCGCTGCAGCTTCTCCTGCTGTGTTCCCCGAAGCGATGGTGCCCGCTGCAGTTTCTCCAGAGGTGGCAGCGCATGCTGCAGAACCTCCCGAAGCAGCGGTGCTCGCTTCAGCTCCTTGTACGGTGGTGGCGCCCAGCAATGCACTTTCAGCCTGTCATGTCGCGGTCAAAGGAACCATTGATGAACGCTGTGCCTGTCCAGCTAAGGAGAATGTTAATTAACTGTCCCTGTTTCCTGACGTTACTGCTATAGAACCTCCAGAGGTGGCGGCATCTGCTGCAGAACCTCCAGAGGTGTCAGTGGTATCCACTTATAAACTCTCGTCCTGTTCTGTTCCGGCCAGGGAGGCCGTCTGGGATCCCTCTGCCAGTCCTGTAACGGCTATGGAGGCCGTCTGTGAATTCTCTGCCTGTCCTG